AATAATATTGCTAAAATCACCAAAATACCGAATATAGGGAGATACCGTTATATGAGGGCTATACGAAGACGTGGACCTGCTCAGACAATTTTCTGTCTTAGGCTGTAGTATTCATTGCGAACTTCGAATACTAAATTTGTAACAATTCCGATGATAAATGTCGCTAAAATCATCAAAATACCGAATATCGGGAGGTATTGTTATATTGGGGCTATACGAAGACGTGGACCTGTACAGACAATATTCTGTCATAGGCTGTAGTATCCATTACGAACTTCAAATACCAAATTTGAAACATTTCCGGTGAATAATGTAGCTTAAATCACCAGAAATTCCGAAAAAAGGGAGGTACTGTTATGTGGGGGCTATACGAAGACGTTGTCCTGTACAGACAATTTTCTGTCATAGGCTGTAGTATCCATTACGAACTTCAAATACCAAATTTCAAATAATTCCGGTGAATAATGCTCCTAAAATCAGCAAAACACCGAATTTTGGGAGGTACCGTTATATGGGGGATATACGAAGACGTTGACCTGCACAAAAAATTTTCTGTCATAGGCTGTAGTATCTATTGCGAACTTCAAATACCAAAATTCGAACAATTCCGGTGAATAATGTTGCTAAAATCATCAAAATAACGAATATCGGGAGGTACCGTTATATGGGCGCTATACGAAGACGTGGAGCCGCACAGAAAATTTTCTGGCATAGGCTGTAGTATCCATTACGAGCTTCAAACACCAAATTTGAAACAATTCCGAGGAATAATGTCGCTAAAATCATCAAAATACCGAATATCGGGAGGTATAGTTATATGGGGGCTATACGAAGACGTGGACCTGTTCAGACAATTTTCTGTCTTAGGCTGTAATATCCATTACGAACTGCAAATACCGAATTTCGAACAATTCCAGTAAATAATGTCGCTAAAATCATCAAAATACCGAAAATAGGGAGGTACCGTTATATGGGGGCTATACGAAGACGTTGACCTGCGCAGACAATTTTCTGTCTTAGGCTGTAATATCCATTACGAACTTCAAATACCAAATTTGAAGCAATTCCGGTGAATAAAGTCGCTAAAATCATCAAAATACCGAATATCGGGAGGTACCTTTGTATGGGAGCTACACTAACACGTGGACCGACGTGGCCCATTTTCAATACCAAAAGTCCAGCAGACATAATATACATTTGAGTAAAATTTTATCAACCTACTTAATTTCGTTCGGAAGCTAGAGTGATTTCCACAGACGGAATGGTGGAGGGTATTCAAAGTTCGGCCCGGTCGAACTTACAGTTTTTTTACTTGTTTTTTATTAAAACCCCCACTCAAATATGTTCTTCCTTCTTCAGCTGAACTTAATTCTCCGAAGATTTGTGATGGACAAATTTAATTCATCTAATAATTTTAATCAAATGCATTTTTCAATTTTTGTTGGAAAATATACAATTTCTTCAAAATCACATTTTCCATATTTATTTAAAAAAAATACTGAAATTATTTTGACCGAGTTTGTCTTTATTGTCTAACGTTCCATTATTTTTTTATGAAAAACTAAATGTTTTTATTTCCCAAATAATTTCTTTTGCAAATTGTGATTTGGGTTGCGAGATTTTTTAATGGATTTCCAAATGAGTTTTTTTTTTGGTTAAATTTTTATGGCTATTTTCTTGTTTTTAATTATTGTAATAATTAGATAATTATGTAGGCATATTGGAAGGGGTGTGGGTGGGGCAGAGAAAGATCGTCCAAAAATGCCCAGTAAAAATACTCTTCACAAATCGGGTTACCAAAGTATCATTTTTTACAAAAGGACATGAGGCATGAAAAAATTGAGGGGGAATGAGAAGATTAAAGTGTACCTTTGTGTCCTTTTTATGAGAGCTCTTGTTCTTGAACAGCTCTGGTTTATATATCCCATTTCATAACAAAAAATCTCCAAAATGTGGCTTGACATATTCCAATATTAGAAATCTTTTTCGAAATTTTAATTTGTTTTAAGTGAAGAAAAATTCCATATCGGGTCGGAAAATCGAGTCGAAACTCAACACTAATTCATGTGAGAAACTTTGTTTGTGCTAAACAAAATATCGGACCAAGACCCCATGAAACTTTATATTGAAGGGTAGGGAAGGAAAATATATGACCCCATTCTCTTCTCCCCTTTCAAAGCATAAATATCAATAATTCCCCCATAATATTTCAATGTTCGACTAACAAGTTTGAAAATTAAATTTTGATGAGTAGCCCATTACCATTCTATACCCTCCACCATACATAGTATGGAGGGTATATTAAATTCGTCATTCCGTTTGTAAATCATCGAAATAATAATTTTTATACCCAACAAGATAGAGTCAAAACGAATTAAGATAGGAGGCTAAAATTTTGCACAGACCCGTCTTTTTTCTGCAGGCAGGTAAAGTTCGAAGATGACATATATTGGTCCACGATATCGTATAGCCCTCATATAACGGTACACCCCCCCCCAATATTCGGTATTTTGATGATTTTGCCACATTTTTCTATGAAATTGTGGGAAATTCTGCACAAGGAGTTCCTTCTTCGTACTTTCACATTCCCACCCCCCCACCCAAGAGAATTTTTATTAATAAGGGCCCACGATATCGTATATCCCACATATGATGGTAGCTCCCGATATTTCAATCGAATTGTCTTAAAATCCCCACAGGGAGTTCCTTTTGCGTACCTTAATCCCTGGAAGAGAATTGTTTACATTGGTCCATGATGCCCCCCAATATTTGGTATTTTAATTATTTTAACCACATTTTTACCTGAATTTTTTCAAATTTCTTATCTAAAGTTCGTAATGGGTATTACATTCTATGCGAAAAATTACTTATGCAGGACCACACCATTGTAAAGCCTCAATAAACGGATTTCCTTTGAGTGGTATTTTCAACGGCTTTTTTTTTTGAAAATTTTCAAGTTCATTCAAAATGATGGAGGGTATTAAAAATCTGGCTCAGCCGAAATTAGCTGCTTTTCTATACCCTCCACCATAGTATGGAGGGTATACTAAGTTTGTCATTCCGTTTGTAACACCTCGAAATATACATTTTAGACCCTTGATCAGCATAAAATCCTCAGTCGATTTAGCGATGTCCGTCCATCTGTGGAAATCACTTTAGCTTCATAAAGAAATGAAGTAGATTGATGGGCAGGTCCATGTCTTCGTATAGCCTCCCGGTACCTCCCGATATACGGTATTTGGATGATTTTAGCTACTATATTCACCGATTTTTATTCAAGTTTCGCATTTGAATATTGTAATGGCTTATGACCTAAGTTGTCTATGCAGGTCCACGTCGTCGTATTGATCCTGATACAACGGCTACATTCGTTATTTTTAAGATTTTAACGGAATTTTTAATTGATTGTATATTTTTGAGAAATATATTCGTTCCAAAGGGTATTCAAAGTTTTTTTTTGGGTGGGGTAACTCCTTTACAAACTTTCTCCATGTAGGCTCACTTTTGGGTATAGCCCCCCGATCTTCCATATTTTAATGGTTTCGGAACCAATTTCTAACCGAATCAGATTTAACTTGATATTTCGGTTTCATAATGGGAAATTCAAATCCGCTCAAAAAACCTGAATATAGTTCTCCTAATTAATGGAACTTCGAATTTTTATACCCTACACCACAAGGTGGTCAGGGTATTATGTCTTTGGGCATTTGTTTGTAACAGGCAAAAGGAAACGAGATAGTTCCTTTTGATGATCTGCATAGAATCACATTCTGAGTCGATTTATGCATGTCCGTCCGTCCGCCTGTCCGTCTGTCCATGTATTGTTGTAAACAAAGTACAGTTCGCATTTATTGCCCTATCCAGATGAAATTTGGCACAAATAATTTGTTTGGCCCAAAGACGAACCCTATTGAAATTGGAGATAATCGGTCAAAATTTAGATATAGGTCCCATATATATCTTCGTCCGATTTACCTTTATTGTGCACCAAACGTCTAATATCCGTTCGAATAGTATGGAATTTTGCTCGCACAACCAAATTAGGCCTGAAAATAACTATGCCGAATTTGATCGAAATCGGTTCAGATATAGCTATAGCTCCCATATATATCGTTTATCCGATTTGTTATTTTTGTCCTCCGCAGCCGTAATATGCACTCTGTAACAACAATATTTGCGGAAATATATGAAATACAGCTCAGAAATACCTTTGCAAAATATTATCGAGATCGGTTCAGATTTGGATATATCTCTCATATATAACTTCGTCCGATTTACCTTTTATTGTGCACCAAACGTCTAATATGTGCCCAAATGGGATAAAATTTGGCACTTACGACCGAATTGAGCCTAGAAGCTAGTATGTCAAATTTGATCGAAATCGGTTCAGATATAGCTATAGCTCCCATATATATATTGTTCATCCGATTTGTTATTTTTGTCCTACGCAGCCGTAATATGCACTCTGTTACAACAATATTTGGGAAATATATCAAATACAGCTCAGAAATATCATTGCCAAATTTAATCGAGATCGGTTCAGATTTGGATATAGCTCCCACATATAACTTCGTCCGATTTACCTTTTTATTGTGCACCAATCGTCTAATATTTGCCCAAATGGCATGAAATTTGGCACTTATGGCCGAATTGAGTCTAGAAGCTAGTATGTCAAATTTGGTGAAGGTCGCTTGAGATATAGCTATAGCTCCCATATATATATATTGTTCATCCGATTTGTTATATTTGTTACCCACAGCCGTAATATGCACTGCGTAACAACGATATTCAGGGAAATATATCAAATACAGCTCAGAAATATCTTTGCCAAATTTTATCGAGATCGGTTCCGATTTGGATATAGCTCCCATATTCCATTTCCTACAGTAAAGACCCCCCACAAGTAAATATTTTGTCCTGACATCTCGACATCTTTAATTACGGGGCATGGGGTTTTTTTTCCTGCAAAACCAGGTGGCAATAAACATATATATACCTACATAATTCTTATCCTTGGTGATGTTGTTGTAGAATTTCTTCTTCTTATTGTTTTTGTGGCTGATAATGATGATGATGTTGCAGTTATTATGTTGTTGTAGTTTTTCTTTTTTTTCAATTTCGTTTTTTTTTTCACAAAACACTTGAGCAGCAGCAAGTTTTTCTTCTATTTTTTTTCTGAAATCTTTTAATTTATGTTTTGCTTCGGTTGTTGTTTTAGTTGTTTTTGTTGTTGTAGGCGTTTTGTTTTCTATGGCCCTGTTTTCCAGGGGGTGTTGTAGTTGGGTTGGTTTATGTTATGCTGCCGTTGTTGTTTCTGGTGGTGGTGGCTGTGTTTTGTATTGTAGTTGTTGTTGCTGCCTTTCCTGCGAATGGTGTTGAAGTATTTAAAGTGGTGTTCTGCCACTCTTTTTTTGGCTTTTCGTGCTCTTATCAGATTTTCCCTTTTCGTTGGAAATTCATTGCTTGGATTTTTTTTTTGTCAAAAAATACTTTTCTTTGGGTTTTTCCTAAACAAAATTTTTCATTAAATAATTTTGGTTTATTTTCAATTTTTCAATATTTTTTGGAATTTGTGCTCACTGCTGCTCTTTGCCTTACATCCGTTTTTCGGGTTATTTTTTTTGCTTTTCCAAAAATTTTTTTATGCAATTTTCCTTTTATTATTTTTTTTTTCTTTCTAACTTATGTCCATTTTTCCAACCCGCTCCCAATTTTCACATTCCACTGGGATTTTTCCTTGCACAGGCAAATCTACATAATATTCACTTTCTTTTGTTGGTATTTCTGCAGCAGGAAAATTTTTAATTAAATTCCATTTCCTCCTATTTTTTGTGCAAAAAAATGTATTTGTCAATTGTGCCGTTCGTTTTTCCGCAGTTTTTCCACCACAAATCGTTCGAGTATATGTCACACGGACACTGAATTTTTACTCGACGGCTCTGTCTGTGCTCAGCACTGGCTGTCTGTCTGCCTGCCTGCCTGCAAATACATAGACACCATGAAAGCTTTATGGGAGACCAAGTAAAGAGCTTTCAAAGGCATGCCCCCCAAACAGGGTTGTATGATTTGGGAATTGTATGCAAAGGTACTTTTTTTCAAAAAAAAAAAAAAAAAAAAAAAAAAATAAAAATAAATAAATAAATAAATAAAAAAAAAAAAAAAATCAAAATTAATTAAAAATATACAATTCGGCAAGATTTTTATAAAAAAAATAAATAATAAAAAATTTCAGAAAAAATTAACAGAAAAGTCACTTCTTTAAAGTTTTTTTTTTTTTTTTCCAGAAAATCGAAATTAAAAAAAAAATAAAAATAAAAAAAGTAAAAATAAAATAAAAAAAATTGAAAAAAAACAGTAAAAAAGCATTAAGTGCAGCCGGACGGAACTTTAAATACCCTCCAGCATTTGGGACGAATTAGGGAATTAAAAATAAAATAAAATCCTTTAACAAATGTCAAAAATACCGAATATAGGAAGGTACCGATATATAAGGGCTATACGAAGACCTATACCTGCATAGCTAACTTTCTGTCATAGGCTGTAGTATCCATTTCGAACTTCAAATACCAAATTTGAAACAATTCCGGAGAATAATTTCGCTAAAATCCTTAAAATACCGAATATTGGGAGGTACCGTTATATGGGGGCTATACGAAGACGTTGACCTGCACAGACCTTTTTCTGTCATAGGCTGTATCCCTTACGAACTTCCAATACCAAATTGCAAACAATTCCGGTGAATAATGTCGCAAAAATCATCAAAATACCGAATATCGGGAGATACCCTTATATGGGGGATATACGAAGACGTAGACTTGCACAGACAATTTTCTGTCATAGGCTGTAGTATCAATTACGAACTTCGATTACCAAATTTGAAACAATTCCGGTGAATAATGTCGCTAAAATCATCAAAATACCGAAAAAAGGGAGCCACAATTATATGGGTTGCTATACGAAGACCTGGACCTGCATAGGCAATTTTCTGTCTCAGACTGTAGTATCCAATATGAACTTCAAATACAAAATTTGAAACAATTCCGGTGAAAAATGTCGCTTGAATCACCAAAATACCGAAAATAGGGAGGTACATTTATATGGGGGCTATACGAATACATGGACCTGCACAGACAATTTTCTGTCATAGGCTGAAGTACGCGTTATGAACTTCGAATACCAAATTTGAAACAATTTCGATGATGTTTTTCGCTGAAATCCTTAAAATAACGAATATAGGGAGGTACCGTTATATGGGGGCTATACGAAGACGTGGACCTACATGACACATTTTCAAAACCAAAAATCCTGCAGACATAATAGACATTTGAGTAAAATTTTATCAACCTACTGCATTTCGTTAGGGAGCTAGAGTGATTTCCACGGAGGGATGGACGGTCGGACATCGCTAAACCGACATAGAATTTTAGGCTGATCAAGAATAGATATACTTTGTGGGGTCTAAAATGTATAATTCAAGGTGTTTTAACGGAATGACACACCTGATATACCTTCCATACTTTGGTGGAGGGTATAAAAACAAATACTTCAGCCAATGATCTCTTCAAAATTTAGCTACATTATACACCGAATAAAAATTAAACTCAGACTTCCTGATATTTAACAACGCCAATTTACGGAAATTTTGATAAAAAATTATTTTCAGAGGAGTTTGAAAAATTAAAAAATTTTTAATTTAAAAAATTTTATTTAAAAAAATTTTCCCCAAAAATGGTATATTTTTATATTTTCTACATATTTTCAACATATTATTTTTTTTTATTTTATATATTTTATTTTTTATTTATTTATTTATATTTTTATTTAAATATTATATTTTTTCAACATATTTTATATTTTCAACATATTTTAATATATTTACATTTTTCATACCATTTGTAAACAACCCTGTTCCATAATGCTCCACATTTTTTTTTTTTGTGGAGCATGTCCAGTATATCTCCATACTAGCAGGTGTTTTCTTCCGAGAAAAAAAAAACACCAACCCCAAGAGCTTTACGGCGTAAAGTTTACGCACAAATGAAACAAGAGAAAATAAACAAAACTATTGCTGCTGCTCTCCATCCCTCTCAATAGCACTCTCTCTCTCCTCCTCATTTCTGTAAATATTGAAACTCTCTGAAACGTTGAGTTTATTTCTCCCGCTCTCTCTCTCTGAGCATAATGCCACGATGCTAAAGGAATTTCCCACAAAAAAAAAAAAAAAAAAAATAAAGCTTTACAGCTGTGCACATAAATAAACATAACTCTCTTGAAGGCAGCACAAAAAGCTGCTTGACGGTAGGGTTGCTTTTTTCGAACATTTCTGTGGAAAATACCTAAACCATTTGAAAGTGATGCCTTGCCAGAGGTTTTTGGTAGCTGAGATGGCTTTAAATTATATTTTTCCGAGTTTTACATAAACACCAACCCGAGCAAAAATATTAAACCCCGAGCAAATTATAAAAAAAAACCAATTAAATTGTAGATTTGACAGACACATATTTAAAGATCACCAAATATTGGACCAATTTTTTTTACATTTTAGGAAATTTTTAATGGTGCGTAAACTCTTTCATTTTGCCTGTGCACCTAAAACCGACCAAATTTTGGTAGAAAATTACAAAAATGAATTTTTTCTGAAATTATAACATTATTGTTTTATGGGTTGTTTTTTAGTTGACAGAGAGCCTTGCGATATGCAATTGAACCGAAATATAAGAAAAATTCTACCAAAGTTTATATTTTTTGGTATAAACAAGTTAACGAACTGTGTAACTTTTATATATATATATATATATATATATATACTTTATATATATATATATATATATATATATATATATATATATATATATATATATATATATATATATATATATATATATATATATATATATATATATATATATATATATATATATATATATATATACACATATATACATATATATATATATATATATATATATATATATATATATATATATATATATATATATATATATATATATATATATATATATATATACATTTCGAGAAAGACTTACAGACAGAAAGACAAACTTAACAGGTCCTCCGTATGTGTGTAAAAAAATATATGTGGGAGCTATATCCAAATCTGAGCCGATCTCGATATAATTTGGCAAAGATATTTCTGAGCTGTATTTGATATATTTCCTTGAATATCGTTGTTACGGAGTGCATATTACGGTTGGGGGTAACAAATATAACGAATCGGATGAACAATATATGTATGGGAGGTATAGCTATATCTGAACCGATTTCGATCAAATTTGACACACTAGCTTCTAGACTCAATTCGGTCGTAAGTGCCAAATTCCATCCCATTTGGACAAATATTAGACGTTTGGTGCACAATAAAAAGTAAATCGGACGAAGTTATATATGGGAGCTATATCCAAATCTGAACCGATCTTGATAAAATTTGGCAAAGATATTTCTGAGCTGTATTTGATATATTTCCCCAAATATTGTTGTTACAGAGTGCATATTACGGCTGCGGAGGACAAAAATAACAAATCGGATGAACAATATATATATATGGGAGCTATAGCAATACCTCAACCGATCTTCACCAAATTTGACACACTAGCTTCTAGACTTAATTCGGTCGTAAGTGCCAAATTCCATCCCATTTAGACAAATATTGGGCGTTTTGTGCACTATAAAAGGTAAATCGGACGAAGTTATATATTGGAGATATATCCAAATATGGGAGATATATCCGAACCGATCTCGATATAATTTGGCAAAGATATTTCTGAGCTGTATTTGATATAATTCCCCAAATATTCTTGTTACAGAGTGCATATTATGGCTGCGGAGGACAAAAATAACAAATCGGATGAACAATATATAAATGGGAGCTATAGGTATACCTCAACCGATCTTCACCAAATGTGACATACTAGCTTCTAGACTCACATCGGTCGTAAGTGCCAAATTCCATCCCATTTGGACAAATATTAGACGTTTGGTGCACAATAGAAGGTAAATCGGACGAAGTTATATATGGGAGATATATCCAAATCTGAACCGATCTCGATAAAATTTGGCAAAGATATTTCTGAGCTGTATTTGATATATTTCCCCAAATATTGTTGTTACAGAGTGCATATTACGGCTGCGAAGGACAAAAATAACAAATCGGATGAACAATATATATATGGGAGCTATAGCAATATCTGAACCGATTTCGATCAAATTTGGCATACTTATTTTCAGGCCTAATTTGGTGGTGCGAGCAAAATTTCATACTATTCGGGCTGATATTACACGTTTGGTGCACAATAAAAGGCAAATCGGACGAAGATATATATGGGAGCTATATCTAAATTTTGACCGATTATCTCCAATTTCAATAGGGTTCGTCCTTGGGCCAAACAAATGTTGTTTGGAAAATTTCGCCTCAATCGGGTAATAAATGCGACCTGTAATTTGTTTACAAAAATACATGCACAGACGGACGGACGGACATGCATAAAACGACTCAGAATGTGATTCTGTGCAGATCATCAAAAGGAACTATGGGTCTATCTCGTTTCCTTTTGCCTGTTACAAACAAATGCACAAAGACATAATACCCTGACCACCTTGTGGTGTAGGGTCACATTTGTCACATTTCCTCAAAAAAGCAGCCATGAAAATTCCTGGCGTAAAAAAGAACTACTTCTCGGAGTCTCGGAGCCATGTGGCTGTGGCTGAGTGTATGCTGCTCTAGGAGGCTAGGAGGCAATTTTATAAATAAAATTATAAATTCCATTTGTTTTGTTAATAATGCAAATGTACAGCGTCGCCGATGTATGTGTCGTATATGTTGGTCGTCGCACCCAGGTGGGTGGATAGACGTCCTACTTCAAAAAAAACTTGGTTGGCAAATTTTTATACCCTCCACCATATACAGCATGGAGGGTATATTAAGTTCGTCATTCCGTTTGTAATTCATCGAAATAA